GTTTTATACCTGTATCGTTATCACCGAGAGTAATAGAATTACCACCCAATGCGTTATTCGTACCAAGCGCCAGCCCACCATCAATTTTGGCACCCGTGGCTGACTGATATAGCGCCTGTTCTCAGATTTATAGCAAATGGCCTTAATGGGCCGATATCACCGTTTTCGCCCCGTCCTTCAGACGTCGGGATAAAATGAAGATATTCTTCCGAACGACGAAAAATCAGGCCAAAAGCATCGTCGAAAATTCTCAGCGCATTCACCGTGCCAATTTTCAGCTCCCCGGTCATGGTGTCACCACCGCGCTGAACGGCATTTTTCGCTTTATCCACCGTAGGTTTTAATCCGAGGTTATCAACCGCTTCATCTTTATCTTCCACATCGGCAAGATTCTCGCCGATGCGCAGATAGCGTTTATCTCCGGCCTCCTGCGTGATAATCGCCCTGTGAGGATCCACCTCCAGCGTCACACTCTGTGTATGTGTAAGCGCAAGAACCAGTGTCAGTATCACCTCCTTGATAACGGAATCCGTCTGTGCCGGTAAATACGTATCCGGATAACGACCATACGCAATCAGCGTGCCACGGCGACTCACCATCCCCAGCTCGCGCAGGGTCTTTCCCGGGTATGACTGACAGTCAATGACAATATCCCCGCTGATAAAACCTTCGTCCACCACGCCGCCTGAAAAGGGCTCCCGACCAAACTCACCACACAACATGACCATCGCCGCCATCTCATCCGGCGTTGAGGGCAGTGTTTTCCCGCCCCCGTCACCAATCATCACCTGACTGATGGTCACCACCTCACCGGCATGATATGCAGCTTCAATTTCGGCTGCCCCGGCTGTTGTCAAAACTAGTCCATGCATACCCACAACTCACTCCACCCACTCATCCCGGATACCCCGGGTATCATCAGCACTGATACCACTGACTTTTTCTGTTGCCATCACATAACCGTAACCAAAAATACGCCCCCTGCTGTTTCCGTAAAGATGAACACTGAACCAGCTGCGCAGATTTTTGGCACGGAGCACCGCATGCTTCAGATCCTGATAGTCATTCATCTGTACCGGTAAATCCTTCTGCTCCACATTCAACCGGAAGGTATAGGGTTCACCTGGTGGCGTCTGCTCATACCACTCCACAATCTGTGACCGGAACGGGCTGTCTGTCAGTGATTCGTTCAGAGCGGCTTTTGTTCCCCGGTGACGATGGATATAAGCGGCACGTTTTATCGCCGCTCTTTTTTCCGCCTCCGTCCAGTGTTCATTCCAGGTGTCCACCGACATTTCCCAGGCCAGCCATGGCAGCAATTCCGTCGGACATAAATCGGGATTTTTTACATAGCGGATCAGACAGACCGCGATTTCCGCCAGCATATCACCGGCGGTACTGTCCACCACCCGCTCTGCCCGGCTGGCGCTGACAGGAAGTATGCTTCTGATGATGTCATTCATCGGTTGCCTCCACCTTGTTCAGTGTGACTGAGCGACACCATGGAGCCTGTCCCATCGCCGGAACAATATCACTGGCCGGCGATTTCAGTGCCACCGTAATCACCCCCGTCTGATGCAGGGCTCCGTCCATACCGGAGCAGGACGCCACAGAACCAATCCGGTGAACACTGTCAGTGTATGTCTGCAGCGCCTGACGGGCATTTTTCATCACCAGTTCACCATCCAGCCCGTAGGGAATATGAATATCTGCAACCACATCGTAGGGAATAATTTCTGCCGCACGGACACTGACAAAATCCGTCAGAGGTCGAATTTCATCATCATTGACTGACGCTGCCACCTTATCCAGCAGGGGTTGCGATGCCGTACCGTTTCCGGTTCGCGATAACACATAAAGAAAAACACGCCCTTCCTGTGAATGCGTTTCCGGCCCGTAGGCTTTCACATCCAGCACATCAGGATCAGCACTCTGTGCAAAATAATGGTAAGCATTTTTCGCACCGGCTGTACTGAGTCGCGCCCACGACAACTGAATACGCTCACGAAAGGCATCATCCCCTTCATACACCGCCGGTGTGGGCGGGATAGTGCTGTCATCTGCCGGAGTAATCACCAGACGTTGCACCTGAAAATTCGCACCAATCTGATCCAGATCGTTCCTGCGGGCACTGGCAAGCAGTACAGCCCGGACTGCATCATTGACCTGCTGGCGCATCAGCGCCACCCGAAAAGCAAGCGCCTCCGCCCATTTATACGCCGGATCTGATTCCACCAGGGCCGAAAACAACGTGTCCAGTTCCTGATATTTCGCCACTATCTGAGTGACCAGCACAGCGGTGTCCGGCACCTCCACCGCATCCGGTACAGGTATCGCGGACAAATCAATAATGGCCTGAGACGTTGTCAATTCTGATTTCCTCCAGACGAATTGTTTCCTGTGTTTCGTTATTCACGCCCAAAAGCGTCAACATGACATTTCCCTCACCGCCGAAGCTCACCTCCACACGGCGGATCGTCAGTCTCGGTTCCCAGCGTTCAAGAGCGGTAACCGTCTCACGGACAATCCTCACCCGTGTGAAATCATCCTGCGGGTTATCAAGCAGACTGAACAACCTGCTGCCGTATTCCCTGAGAAGTACCCGGCTGCCGACTGGTGTTGACAAAATATCGGTGACGGACTGACGCAGATGTTCGTTACCGTGCAGATATCTGCCGGTGGCGGAATCAATACCAATCATGAAATTTTTCCGAAAAAAAACGCCGGTGCGGCGTTCACATTTCCTGGTTAGGTTTACGGGTGGTTCCCCCGCTGTCGCCAGGGTGATCATGAGTATTATAAATTTCGCGAATTTTACTCATGCTGCCGGTTTTATCGGTGATCTCCTGTGAGGCACCGATATTGCCCAGAACCTGCGTATCGGCATTAATCTTCGTTTCTCCCTGCACAGTCAGGGTATCCGTGATTTCCACCGGACCGTCCAGCGTTCCCCTGCCGGTGATTTTATAGCTGCCGCCTTCAGCCAGCGTGATGGACAGGGCATTGGCTTTACGGTCGTAACGGATTTCCGTTCCGGTATCAAACAAAATAACATGCTCGTGTTCACTGCCCGCCGGTACAGGAATGGCGTCAATATTCGCCCCCGGATACACACGACCGTTACGCAGATCGCCCGCCTCCGATATCACCGTGACCGCATCTCCTGGTGCCGGGTAATTACTGACCTGCATGTAACGCCCGGACTGCATCTGAATCCAGGGCAACGGCGGCGAAAGCACATCTCCGATATCCACCCGAACCATCACCGGGTTACCCGGGATCACCTCTTCCACCACGCCGCGACGGATCATGTCCGCCACCCTGCGGCGTAACTCTGCCACTTCATCCGCCAGACTCATCGCCGGTGCCCTCCGCTTTCCAGATAAGACGATAATCCTGCACATGCTTTTTACCGGTTTCCGGTACTTTACCCAGCCAGACTTCCTGTAACGGCACACCTGCCGGAGCCGCAAACGGATCTTCGCCGACCGGAATGTCCTGTTCAAAAGAGACACGGAAAACGATGTAGTCGTCCAGCAGTCGGTCGAAGGTATCCACCTCAGCATCAATAAAAACCGCCGGATCAACGTTATCCAGCCCGAACGTGGCTCCATCAATCCAGTCAGATAAATCCATTGCCAGACAGCGGGCAAATATCTGCGGTTTTGGCACGTTTTCCGTCTTTCCGGCCCGATCAGTCACCACAAACAGATCGCATTTCAGCGTGACCCGTGTCTGCCCGTCGGCAAACTGAGCCTTGTCCCAGCCGGGTACATCCACAAACACGGCAGGCGTCACCAGTTGCGTCACTTTTTCCGGGTACTCATCGGCATCTTCCACCCAGGGAATTTGTTTCAGACTGTCAATCACTGCCTGATGCCAGGTTCCCATCATCAATGGTTCCATCATTCCATCCCCTTAAATACCCGGAATTTCAGTTCATGCTCAAAATTTTTCAGGATCAGTGCTTCCGCATCAGGGAAAACAAAATCCTCTATACGGTTCAGCATGGCTTCATAAATATCAATTTCCGCTTCGCGCACCCTTCGTCGTCCGGATGCCTGCCGGACCAGTACCGTCTTACGTCGTGAAATGCGTCCGCGCCGGTTTTCAGACTCAAACTCATTAACAAAAGCCTCGTCACCTGACCAGGTGGTGACCGGTATTGCCTCCCCGGCGGGCTTAAAACGTATCTCCGGCGCTTTCCTGCGACGGGAAGCCGGTGCAAAACGCCCCCGTTCATCACGCAGCTGATGGCGTTCACCGCGTCGCCCCCCACTGATGCGTCCGCGCAGATCACGCACTTTGATGGCGTTCAGGCCGAACCACACCTTTACCTCATCAAACTCATCGCCATTTCGACGAATGATAAAAGCATTCAGGACACGTTTTTTGATCATTTTCTGGCTGCGTGGCGCAACCTGTTTTTTAAACTCTGCCATGGCCTTCATCCGCAGTGCGGACGCGGCTCTTTTCAGCGCCACGCCCCAGGCTTTACGGATCTGGCTTTTTGAACCACCCAGTTTAGCGATAATTTTCAGCACATCATCCTCGTCAATATCGACGACGAGGTTTCGTGCCAGCCGTCGCTGCCGGACAGTGCTTCGTTCATGCTCTCTGACTGTCATAACGTTTACTCGGTCGGACAGGGGCGGCGGGTGTACTTCTTCCGGGCTCTCCCCGCGCAAGAGTAATGGTAATCACACCATGACCCGCAGTGCCTGACTCATCCCAGCCAGGATCGACCACCTGGTAGGGTTCGCCGTGGATCATGACCCTGTCATATTTTTTCAGTCCGGCAACCCATGCGCTCCGGGTAAATAACACCGGTGCAGTATCACGAATTTCGCCGCTGCCAGTGTTCATCCCGGTGTTATCTGCCGGGGCATCAAAAACAGCACGGATTTTTCTTTCCGTGCCGCCCGGATATATGCTGATTTCCGTCCCCATCGTATCCAGGATGATGTCATCCGCATCACTCATGGCCTGATCGAACAGATTATCGGACATCATCACTCCCGGATTTTTTCTGCCAGACCATCCGCCAGCAACGCAGGAACTGTGGCTTCATTAACCAGCACAACACTGGAGGCCCGGGCGAACATCAACATTTTGCCCGTCACCGCATCACGGGACGGCATATGTGCCGTTTTCAGCATGCGCACCCGAACGAGTCCCCGCTCAGAATACACCTCATTACGGGCATCCCCTCCGGATGCATCACGCTGTTCATCATGCACATCATCCTGTTCTGTCCCTTCCCCATCGAATCCGGCGGCCTCCTCTTCCCATTCCGCCAGGCGCTGTTCAAGATCGGCTTTTGAACCTGAAATATCTGCTTCACGCCCCAGAATCTCTGCCAGCTCCTGCAGGCGTTCAGTCATCTGCTCTTTTGTCATCACATTTCTCCCGTGCGATAAAGAAAAAGGCGGGAATATCCCGCCTGACCTTATTTCACCTGAACTACCACAAACGCGTCCGGATCCGGCAACACCATCAACGGCGCAGACTGCGTCATGGTATATTCGCACCCCGGGTCCCCCACCTCTAACCAGTGTTTCGGATAACGAATTGCAGAGGTGATCCCTTCACTCAGCGCCTGGTTATCCTGGATTGCGCCATAACAACGGACACCCTCCACCTGAGTGTTTCCAAGAATCAGTGTGCCTTCCGGCAGATAACGCTGCTCATCCCCGTTTTCATCAACATACGTTGTTTTCGCCACCATGATGGCCAGATCACCGTAATAACCTTTAAAAGAAACCACGGAACCCAGATCTTTCAGCGCGGTTTCCAGTTCAGATTTTGAGCCACGGCGGGTATCCAGTTTTTCACGAAACAGCTTAAAACCGTTCAGCATACGCCAGACAGTACCGTCCATAATCGCAATATTGATGGTACCGGAAGCAAAATCGCAGTACGCATCCAGATCATGCGTCGGATCAAAGGTGTCAGC